GCATGAATGTCAATCTCTCTGACGATGTGCAGAAGTCACTGAGCCCAACACTAGGCACACATAGTAGGTACTTAATGAATGTTAATGAGGAGAGTCAATGTGGGGGGCATCTGAAGTCAGAACAGGAGGAGATAGGGAGTGAGGAATATAATGTAAAACAGCCAGAATGTTTATGAAGAAAATGGATGGATTTGGAAGTCAGAAAGCCATAGGTTCAAATCCTAACTCTGGGTAAGGTATATTAATATGGTAACTTCAGGCAAGAAACTTTACCTCTCAGAACCTCAGAGCCCTCATCTATAATATATATCTTAAAAATGTGAGTAGTAATACCTAGTGCATTTTGATTATGGGATTATTAAGTAAGGTAATATATAGAAAGTGTCTATACAGGCTGAGTTCAATAACTATATTTTTAATTTTATTATCATTTGTTGTAAATATCATCAACAATGAGGATCCCCAGATTATTAACAGTGGAATATTACTTTTAAAAAGAACTCAAAAATGCCAACTTTCCTCAAATTGATTGATGGACTTAATGCAATTTCAATCAAAATGCCAGAAGGCTTTTTAAAAAATTATTTTCTTTATTGATTAAGGTATTACATATGTGTTCTTATCGTCTCATTGCCCCCTAACCGCCGCGCTCCCCCTCCCCCCAACTCATACCCTCACCCCCCTGATGTCTGTGTCCACTGGTTAGGCTTATATGCATGCATACAAGTCCTTTGGTTGATCTCTCCCCCTTACTCCCACCCTCCCCTACCTTCCCTCTGAGGTTTTATGGTCTGATCAGTGCTTCTCTGTCTCTGGATCTGCTTTTGTTCATCAGTTTATGTTGTTCATTATATTCCATAAATAAGTGAGATCATGTGATATTTATCTTTCTCTGACTGGCTCATTTCGCTTAGCATAATGCTCTCCAGTTCCATCCATGCTGTTGCAGATGATAAGAATTTCTTTTTAAAAATAGAAATTGACAGACATATTCTAAAATGTACGTGAAAATGCAAAGGCCTCATAATAAACAAAAACAATTTTGAAAAAGAACAAGGTGAAAAATTTATACTACCAGGTATAAAACTACAGCATTAAAATACTGGCATAAGAACAGGCATATTGATGAATGGAATAGTATAGAGATTTTATACGTAGACCTAAACATTTGGATGCCCAGATAGTTGATCAAATATTATTCTGCGTATTTCTATGAGGATTTTTTGGATGAGATTAACATTTACATCAGAAAACTGAGAAAAGCAGATTGCCCTCCCTAATGTGGGTGGGTTTCACCCAAGCAGTTGAAGGCCCGACTAGAACAAAGAGGCTGACACTCCCTGAGTAAGAGAGGGTTCCTCCTGCTCAATTGCCTTTGAATTGGGACACTAGATTTTTCTTGCTCTTGGACTTGAACTGAAACATCAGCTCTTCTTGGATCTCCAACTGGCCAACTTTCAGAAAGGAACGATGCCGTTGGCTCTTCTAGATCTCTGGCTTGCCAACTCGCCCTGCATGTCTGAGACGAGTCAGCCTTTTATAATCATGTGAGCCAATTCCTTATAATAAATCTCTTTGTATCTAGAAATATCCTACATATATGAAGATCTAACTATTCAATGATCTATCTATCTATCTATCTATCTATCCATCATCTTTCTATCTATCTACTTCCTATTGGTTCTGTTTCTCTGGAGATCCCTGACAAATACAGACATCAACTTTTGCTCATTGAAAGACATTGTGGTAGATTGAATGATGGCTTCCCCAAGATGTCCATGTCCTAACCCTGGAACTTATAAAGATGATACATGTAACAGACACTTTGCGGCTGTGATTAAATTAAGGATCTCTCTGTAAAAAAAAAAAATCAATAAAATATATATTTAAAAAATAAAAAAGAATAATGTGTAGCTATTTTTGAAGTTTCTTTTTTGAAATCTACATACAAAATATACACAAACCATATGTATATAGCTTGATCAGTTATAATTGCAGCCATTCTGGTAGGTGTGCAGAAGTATCCGATTGTGATTAACTTGGATGTCCTGATAATAACTGATACTGAGCACCTTTGTAAATACTTATTGGCCATTTGGATATTTTCTGGTAAATCTTTAACTATGAAGCCACTTGGGCCTGAAAACTACAGATTTAAAATTCTTTAATATATAAGGAGAACTTTGGATTTTCTATTTTTTTCTTATCAGTTTTGTTTTATTTTTAAGGGAATTTTTCCATTTTATTTAAATTTCTACTATATCAGTACAAAGTTGTCATAATGTTCTCTTATCTTTTTAAAGTTTGTAGTATCTGTAATAATGTTCCCCTTCTTATTCCTTTTGTGTGCCTGTGTGAATCTTGCTAAGGGTTTAATAGTTTATTAATTTTTTCCAAGAACCAATTTTTGGCTTTGTTGATTTTTCTCTTATATGTTTCTTTTCAATTTAAATAATCTCTGCTCTAATCTCTATTATTTCCTGCCTCTGCATCTTTCTAAGGACTTAATTCTCTGTTGATTTTTAACTTTAAAAAATATAAAAAACGAAAGAGTTATTTATTTCAGAGAGGAAGGGAGAGGGAGAGAGAGAAACATCCATGATGAGAGAGAATCATGGATCAGCTTTTTCCTGCACCCCACCATCTAGGGATTGAACCTGCAACCTGGGCATGTGCCCTGACCGGGAATCTCACCATGATGACCTCCTGGTTCATAGGTTGACATTCAACCACTGAGCCATGTCGGTCGGGTGATTTTTAAAATTTTTTGAGATGAATGCTTAGATCATTGGCTTCTAGCTTTTCTTGTTTTATAATAATGAATTAACTGTGTAAATAATCAATTAAAGGTATAAAATTTCTTCTAAACATGGTTTTGATTTTACCTCATAATTTTTATATACCACATTTTTATTATAATTCAGTTAGTTATATTTTCTAATTTTCATTGCAATTTCTTTTTTTTACTTAGTGGTGTTTTAGACTTTTTTTACATAGGTTCCTAAATATTTGGGGATTATCTGGTTATCCTTGCGTTAATGATATCATCCTTAATTACTCTGTGATCAGAAAAAATATTCTGATTTATCTTAGTTTTTTAGACTATGCTGAGAGTTGCCTTTATAGCTTGGCTTAAGGTCAATTTTGTTAGACATTACTCATGCACATTTTTATCTTTTTTCTTTTTAAAAATATATATTTTATTGATTTTTCACAGAGAGGAAGAGAGAGGGATAGAGAGTTAGAAACATCGATGAGAGAGAAACATTGATTAGTTCTCCTGTACAGTACCCACTGGGGATGTGCCCGCAACCAAGGTACATGCCCTTGACCGGAATCGAACCCGGGAACTTCAGTCTGCAGACCGACGCTCTATCCACTGAGCCAAACCGGTTTTGGCCTATCTTTTTTTTTTTTTTTTTAATTTTCGAGAGAGAGGAGAGAGAGAGAGAGAGAGAGAGAGAGAGAGAGAGAGAGAGAGAGAGAGAGAGATATCAATGAAAGAGAAACATCTGTTGGCCATCTCCTGCACAGCCCCTACTGGGGATCAAACTTGCAACCTGGGCATGCGCCCTTCCTGGGAATGGAACCAGTGACCTCTAGGTGCATGGGAGGGTGCTCAACCAATGGAGCCACACCAGCCAGGGCTACTCGCGTACATTTAAAAGTATTCTGAAGTTGTTGGATGAACTCTCCAACATGTATCGGTTAGTCCAGGCTTGTTCATCATGTTGGCAGAGCTTCTGTATGACTACTGCAGTTCCTGGGAAAGACCTGAACCAGAGGCCAGGGGACCAGGAGAAGGAACTGCTTCCCCCATTTCTGAAGGGGCCACCTTCCCTGGTACTGACTGCCTTTCCCTTGGGCCGGGCCGGGAAGGGCAGGGCGGAGGGGTTGGCCCCTTTTCCTAAGTCACTCGCTACCAAGTCCACTTCCACCCAAAGCCTCATGCCTGGAAGCACCGGGAAGGGAAACACTAATAATGTCTTGAGAGGGAGAGACTCTCAGTGTGAACATAAAGTCAGTCTTTGGGGATACGCTCTGGGGGAGGTTCGGCCCTCTCCCATTCCACGGCTTAATGTGTAACTTGTCACCTTTCCTGAATGTCGATTCCTTTTATTTGCCTGTAACACTTTCACCTTGCTCCATCTCCTTGGTTACTGTGTGCCGCTCTAGTCCCTCTGCCAGAGCCCAGCCACCTCTGCTCAAGGCTTGGACACCCTTGTCCCTGGCTAACCTCCTCAAATCCGCCAGACATGCCCCAAACCATCCCCGCCCTGGGAGCACCAGGGATTCTTGGAGGGTAGATCCTTGGGGGCAGGCCTGACCTGTGCCTCACACAGAGCCGTGTCCAGTGGAGGGCCCTAAGGGTACTTGTGGAATTAAACTGAATTGCTGTCCCTTCTCCTGAGAAGGTCCCTTTATCAGAAGACTATTTCTGTCTCTAAAAGAGTTCATATCCACCTATAAACTCTCCCTCTCTCCCTCTCTCCCTCTTCCCTCACTTCCTCCCTCTTTTCGTCTTCCTTCCTTTCCAGTCTTCTACAGATATTTGTTGAGCATCTAACATATGCCTGGCACAGAGGGTCCCCTGGTCAATAAGACATTCCAGGTATCTGTTTTATGGAGATGACCTTACATGGGAGCCGAATCCACAAATGCACGAGCTGACCTCAAATTGTGGGAGATGCTATTAGGAAGTAGCAGAGGCCCCTGACAGAGGAAAGGGGAGGGGTCTGCCTGGAGAGGGTGGTGATGGGGGAGAGGGGGCCTCAGAGGAGGTGATAGGACACCCGTTGAGCAGTATCAATGTCTGAAGGTAAAATCTTGTTTCTTAAAAAGAAAATAGCCCTGTAGCTAATGACATAAAGTCAACCTTTGTTCATTTTAGTGGCCAGGACTTGGGCATTTATTACCTTTTGTACTTTTCTGTATTAAGAGTGTTCCTATAATTAAAATATAGTTTCCTGCATTTGACCATCTATTTGAAAACGTCTATTCCAACAATTCACAATTGGTGACACAGGAGCCATCGCTCCTACTAATGATGCTTTGGAGCATCATGGCTGGGCCTCTGGTCCACCCTTGCCTTTCGCCTTTTCTTCCCTGGCAGACTCTTACTCATCCTTCAAAACCCCGCTCAAGGATTGCCTTGCCAGTGAAGCCTTCTTTTGCCTCCTCTTAGGGAGATCCAGTTGTTCCATGGATTGCTGTCGCTCAGTACATTGCTTATATGATTCTAATAAATCTTGGCCTGTTGTATCACAGTTTATTTGCTTGGATGTATAGACTCTTCCAAGGCTCATCTCACTGTCTTCAGCTACCAGCACAGACCACATAGCAGCACATTGTAGATTCTCAACAATGATTCTCCAGGATGCCTGTTGGATGAATGAATAAACGTTTAACCTTCAAACAACAAGCTCTCAAAAGAGTATTAATAGGAGATAGTTGTATACAAGCAATAAGCTAATTAAACTTCATTTTATTTATTCATTCACACAAACTCAGCAAGAACTCCATTTGGCTGCTATTAATGTTCAGTGTGATTTACTGTAAGTACTTGAAGTGTAAAAAATGTGTTTCTTTTCAAAGGAAAGCCACTGTTCTTTTGGTTTTTCTCCAACCCTCCCCTCATTTGTATGAATTAGTAAGACGTGACTTTAGTTCAAGTCTTTTCCCTGAGATTTGCAGGCTAGTTATGCAGTAATTTAATTACTTCTGAACCTACTAAAGGCAAATACCAAGCAATCTACAGGGAAAGATTGTGGAGTTCCCAGTTATTTATTAAGAAAGCTTCATGTAGCCTAGACCGGTTTGGCACAATGGATAGAGCGTCGGCTTGGGGACTGAGGGGACCCGGGTTCGATTCTGGTCAAGGGCATGTACCTTGGTTGCGGGCATATTCCCAGTGGGGGGTGTGCAAGAGGCAACTGATCGATGACTCTCTCTCATCGATGTTTCTGGCTCTCTATCTCTCTCCCTTCCTCTCTGTACAAAATCAATAAAATATATTAAAAAAAAAAAAAAAAAGCTTCATGTAGTCCTAGCTGGTTTGGCTCAGTGGGTAGAGCCTCAGGACTGTAGACTCAAGGGTCCCAGGTTCAATTCTGGTCAAGGGCACATGCCCTGATTGTGGGCTCAATCTCTAGTTGGGGCTGTGCATGAGGCAGCCAATCAATGATTCTCTCATCATTAATGCTTCTAACTCTCTCTCCCTCTCCCTCTCTCTCTGAAATCAATAAAAAAAGAAAAGACAAGAAAGCTACATGTAGTCCTCATGGAGGTGAAAGGGACTCATCCCTCCCTCACTCCAGCCCATGGGTGTCCGCTGGGAGGGAAGCCTAATTAGAAAAATTTGGGTAATTTGGATCCTGGAGTTGGCCAACAGGACAGATGGCAGAACTCTCATGAAAAGGCTAGCAGAGATGCCTGGCCAGCATGGCTTAGTGGTTGAATGTTGACCTAAGAAGACCTATGATCCAAGAGGTTACACTTTCTTGTCTTTGTCCGTTTGCAGTGTGTCGGGGGGAATGACTGTCTGGAGTAGGACTGACTTGGTTCACATCCCAGCTCTGCCTCTTTCAAGGTCGGACTAGTATAGGACCTCCCTCTGCCTCAGTTTCCTCATCTGTAAAATGGGGATGAGAACGGTTGCTGTGAAGGTCATAGGGTTGCTGTGAAGGTCAGATGAGTTAAGGCATATGAGCCAGCAGCCCTGTGGAAATTCATTTCTCACTCATCCTATACTGACCTTGTTTGTTTACTCAACAAACATTTATTGGTCCCCTAGTAAATGCTGGGATCTGGGCTAGGCATTGGCTGGTAGTGGGATGGAGGATGATACACACATGAAAAAACAAGTCCTCACCCTCTAGAAGCTGCAGGCCCGGGAGGGAGACCAGTGTGTGAACATTTCCACTGACACACTGAGGCACATAGTCCTGTAGAAATACAGGAAGGTGTGGCTGGTGCCCGGGAAGACGTCCCCAGAAGGTGACATTGGAGCTGGGCTAGGAAGGCCGGATGGTATGCTCCAGGCAGAGGCGTGAAAGGGAATGCAATGCTGCAGAGGGAAAAGTTCCACGTGACACAGGGCATGGCGGGACGTGATCAGAGCTATAGGCTAGAGCGGAATTATTTAATACGTCTTAGAGTCAGGCAAAGGGCTTGGATGTTACCGCATGGAACCTAGAGAGCCATGCAGGGAGGGGGCCACAGCAGAGAGAGTTAACGGTGCCTGGGAGCACAGGCTGTGAAGTGAGGCAGAGGTGAGTCCAATCCTGAGTCCCCCAATTACCTGCTGTGCGACCTTGGATAAGTCATTTCCCTCTGACTGAGTTTCCTGGATGGTGGGGGGCGGGGGGAGTCATCCCTGTCCATTGGAGCTGTTGTAAGGATGAAATAAGGCAACACAGATCAGGTGTTTTACACAGACCCTGGCTCACAGTAGGTGCTCAGTACCTGGTGACTTACTGCCATCCTTCCTGCTTTGTTGGTAGCATGAGGCAAATGCACCTGAGAAGACAGCACACAACGCAAGGCAAAGGGGGGTGTAGGGGACAAAACAATACACAAAAGATGGATTGCTGGTGGGTGAGGAGGCCTGCAGCCAGGGACTCGGCGGGCAGGACATGGACAGGGAGGACATCACACTTCAGCTGGATGGCGAAGAATAAATGGAAATTCTGTATGAGAGAATGGAAAGGCAGTAGAGCTAGGAATGCACCCAGCTTGGGCACAGGTAGGGTCCATCTCTTGGGGGGGGGGGAGAAAGGAATGGCCAAAAATCTCACCTGGGGTCTGGGGGCGGGGCTTTGATGACTTGGCTCTGCCTCAGTTGTCCTTCCTCTAAGAAGAGTATGGGATGCCTCCAGGGGATTGTAGGCCTGTGTCAAATTGCTGGGCCTGGCTGGTCCCTGGCAAACTGTGTTCCTGGTCAGGAGGTGTTTCGCACCTGGTGGTGGTGGAGGGAGTGGGGGTATTTGCTTCAGTGGAGCACCTCCGTTCAGGCCTGACCACCTGGGATGGGGTCAGACTGCCCCTCCCCCCACTCCTCCCGTGCAAGATGTCACCAGCCTGGGGCTGTGCTACCCCCATCGCCGGAGAATGCCCTCCAGACGGACGAGCGGGCAGTGTCCCTGGCTCCCTCCACCTGGCCCTCCTGTGCAGAGCCGGTGCCCACGATGGCTGCTCCCCGGCGTCCCGCGTCCCGGTGGGAGATGATTAATGGCCTTGCTGCACCGATGTGTTGTATTTAGGTCTATTCCCGAGCAGATAGATTTTTCTTTGCAGATAAAATGAAGGCAGGCCGTCCTCGGGCGGATGGCGGGCCCCCTGCCCGCCCCTTCCGGCGGCAGGCTGTTAGGGAGCTCTGAAAGTTAAATGAGTTGATAAGCGAGCGGGGGCAGGGAGGACTGTACCTTCAGTGGCCCTTGTAAACAGCGTAAAGTCACCTTGATGTGCGGGGACTAATGACGCTGGAGCAAGCCAAATGGAGTCCAGTGGCACGGTGCCAGGAGGGGAGCCCGCGTCCCCACGGCCGGGCCTCACCTTCCTCTGTCCCTGTCTCTCTCCTGGCGACACGCACTTGTACTCAGCTCTCTATCACACCGAGTGCAAAACCTCCTGAAGTTTCCATTGCTTCCTCCGTAGAAAAGAAATGCTATGATGTTGAAGTCCTAACCCTCAGTACCTGTGAATGCGACCTTATTCAGAAACAGGGTCTTTGCAAATGATCAACATAAGAGGAGGTCATCAGGACGGGTCTGAATCCAGTATGCCTGTGTCCAGAGGAAATGTTGGACACAGAGTCCGACATGCACACAGGAGGACGGGACCGCCAGGTGAGCAGGAGGCAGGGGTCGGGGCTGTGCTTCCACAGGCCAAGGGACAGCAAATTCCCCAGCAAGTCATCAGCCCCAAGGAGCGAGGAGCGAGCAAGGCTCAGAGCTGCTCCGCCCCATACCCTGGGAAGGAACCAACTCTGCCCACACCTTGATCTGGACGCCTTGCTTCCAGAGCTGGGAGGCAACACATTTCCGTTGTAAGCCCCGCTTCTTGGGAGCATGGGAACTAATACAGGGGAAGAGTAACCCTTCCCTTGGGTTGGCTGCAAGGATGTGAATCCACAAATAGCCTTTGGATCTTTAGGCCAGCGGCTTACCCCAAGATACGGGGGCAAGGCTAGAGGTGGGCCTGACAAACCGGGGGCAGGTGAACCTCAGAAAACAGAGGCCGCACAATGGTCAGGGCCCTTGTTTCTCTAGGACAGACACACAGGATTAAAGGTTAGGAGGAGGCCAGGCCACAGATGGATTCCATTTCCATGAAATGTGCAGGCCAGGCATACCCTCAGAGACAGAAAGCAGATCAGTGATCGCCAAGGGGAGGGGGGGAGGAGGGCGGGGAGGCCAGCTGGGGAGGAGGAGAAGTAGGAAGTGGGTGCTTAGAGGTACAGCTTCTCCTTTGGGGGGGGTGAAAATGTTCTGGAACTAAATGGTGGGGATGGTTGTGAGTGTATGAAATGTCACTGAATTGTACACTGTAAAATGGTTAAAATGGGGAACTTGGTAGTATGTGTATCTATAATAAAAGAATAATGTGCTAATTAGACCAGACGTCATTCCAGACAACCAGCTGGATAAAGCCGGGCTGTGAGGGAAGCCCAGGTCCCAGGGGCCAGAGGGAAGCCGGTGCCGGCAGCGGGGGAAGGAAGGCCTACTCTGGCAGGGATTTTGTGCATCGGGCCTCTAGTTTTATAATAATAAGAAATACTATATATTGCATGCTAAAAAAAACAACAACAGTTAGTACAGAAAACTCAAAAGAGGAGGTAGAGTTCATAACCTCAGGAATAAAAGGTTAAATAACTGGGGTTGCAGCAATACTTTTGGTACTTTTTAAAAAACCCTTTGGGAGGTTGGAGGAGAGATTCAGGGTCCCCTGGGCTCCCCATCCTTCCCTCCTCTGCCCCTGGGCTCACACACCAAAACCCCAAAAGTCCCCACACAGTGTTCTCTCCCTGACCTCTGACCTCTGGCTAGGCTCTGCAGGCCAGAGCACTTCCACCATCAGGTGCTTGCCCTGCCGGGACTCCCTCAAAGAGGATCCCTCTGGACCCATTCTGGGGAGGAATCAGTGAAAGTCCAAGTAATGAGGCTCCATGAGGCAGGGACCGCCTCCGGAATGCCACAGGCTGCATGCCGGGGGCTGGTCATGCTACCAGGTGCTCTTCTAAGCTTCTCCTGGCCTTGCGTCATTTGTCATCATGCCCATCTCAGGAGGCAGACACTTAGAATCCCCATGTTGCCAAGAGGGAAACTGAAGCACAGAGAGGCTAAGGGCTTCCACCCATTCCCCAATCCTAAGGGAAGAGGCAGGAGCCCAACCCGATGTCTTAATCCAGAGTCCGTGGTTTAACCTCAGTGTGTGCCTCTGCCCTGGGGGCCCTACGGGGCGGGGCTCTTGGCGCCCGGAGAGGCTTATGGTGAGAAGGGGAAGCTCTCCAGAGCCTCCTGGGAGAGCTGAGACTGAGGCTGTGAGGGACTGAGAGATCGGCCTGGAGGTAAAAAGCCTGTCATGGTCCTTAAGGCTTTCAAGGAGGATGCCTGTGGACCCATTTACCCAGCCCTCTTACTAGATAAGGCGCTGACCTGGTAGCAGCTGGGACGCTCTGAGAGAGGTTGCAGCCACAGAGAGGGCTCAGGAACGGCTTCTGGCGAAATCAGGGAGGACCAGGGAGGGCCAGGGAGGACCCCAGAGTGCACAGCTGGAGAATTTTATTTTATTATTTAAATATATATATATATATATATATATATATATATATATATATTATTGATTTTATACAGAAAGGAAAGGAGAGGGGTAGAGAGTTAGACACATTGATGAGAGAGAAACATCGACCAGCTGCCTCCTGCACACCCCCTACTGGGGATGTGCCAGCAACCAAGGTACATGCCCTTGACTGGAATTGAACCTGGGACCTTTCTTGATGCTCTATCCACTGAGCCAAATCGGTTTCGGCCAGCTGGAGAATTTTAAAAGAAAGCAGATCATGAAGGGAAGTCTTCGGCTTGCCTCGGAAGAGAAGTTGTGCCCTGAAAAGGAGCCTGGCAGTGAACAGTGAGCGTGTGCCCAAGGGGTTACAGCGGCAGCCACCAGCACGGGAAGCCTAGAGCCCTCTGGGCAGGGTTGTCCACCTTCCTAGCAGCCAAAACCTGCGTGTGCTCAGGCCTGACAGGGGGCACCGGCCTGGCTTCCCTGGGAGGCCGGGGGAACACGTTGCTCAATCAGTCCGTCCAGTCTCAGGAGAGACCGACCGTGGGTCAGGTAACCTGGTAGCACTGGGGCTGTGATGGTGAGTAAGACACACGTGGGCTTTCTCTCTCAGAGATTGTATTCCAACGGCAGGGGATGCTCTCAGTTCTACATACTAAACGGCTTTGACTTTGGCAGCTTGGATGCCATATCGCTCCTTCTTCTGTGAGCCTGGGAAGTAAAGAGTTAGATCTAATGTGAAGAAGAAATTCAACTCTTATTTCTTAAACACTGGAGAGCAGAACATTTTATGGGTGGTCAAATACCAGTACCTTCCCACACCAGCCAGGGGCTGGTCCCACAGCCCCTCTAGAAGGGGGAGCGTCACCTGAAATTCCACCTAAATCCGTGGGCGCTAGAAACCAGGTCACCACAGCAGGTGGCCCTGGTGTGATCCACGCAGGTCGGCCTTGGGTGGCAGGCGGGGCGGCGCGGGGCGGTTAGGAACTCACCTAGCTTGTTGGGGGACAGCCCAGACATCTTCTGGAAGCTTCGCCTGAGGCTCAGCTTTCAGGGTTGGGCTGGCCAGCCCTTGGGACGGTGTCCCACCTTTGCAGAAGTGGGGGCAGGCAGTGTTTCTTAGAGAATTCCCAGGATCCCAAAGACTGGGGCTCCTTCCCCCAAGAAGAGACGTTTCCAGGCAATTCAGTCACATAGAAAAGCTCTTGGGAAAAGTAGAGACACCAGCACTCCCAAAGCCTTTCAATCTTGGGCAATTCTTCTGACATCAATGTCATTCCCTGTCCTTTAAAAAAACCAAAAAAACCCACCACCTGGTGCGGCTGGAACCACTGGGCCTGCCTCCCCAGCATAGGTGACTCCTGACGACACCCCGCCCCCCACCCTCGAGCCCTCCAGCAGGTCCTCGGAGAAGCCTGTTCGGCCCCTGAGCTGGGGAGGCGCTGTTTGCTCCCCCTTCCTGCTGACCTGGCAGGAGGGACGGAAACTTTCGTGGAAAGCCCTTGTGCTGACGAATGCGCCCAAGTCAGGACTTTGACTCCAGGCCTGCAGAGCCACGGGCTCCGGATCCGGGGGCCTCTCCTCCGCGGGGTCAGGACCTCCGCCCGGCTCCTCCCCGGCTCTCTCTGCCCACCGTCCGTCATGGGCTCTCCGGTGACCCCACGCGACTGCTCCACCGCCGGGGCGGTCACTGGCTTCCATGCTCTCCCCCAGGCCCTCCCCCCACGTACTCTGTATTTTCTTCCCCCTTTCCAGTGTGTGGTCTGCGTGGGGCTCGGCCGAGCTGAAAGTCTGGAGCGTTTGGCTGTTTTGTTTAAGACCTGGTTATGGTTGTGGGAATTTTTTTTTTTTTTTTTTTTTTTTTTTGTCAGCTGCCTGTTATATCAATCACGGAGTGGGGATCTATTTATAGGTTGGGAGTACTGTGTCCTTAGTCACAAAGAGACACAGACAGGGGACTGTCAGCTGTGCTGGAGGAGCTGAGCAGCGAGTCATCAGCAACTGGAAGCACCTAAGGGGCAGACATTCCACCCACCCCGTCCTCCCGGCCCAAGCATGTAAGTACCCAACTTCTCCCTGCGTGCCCTGAGCCTGCCCCCCTCCCCCCTCCTTCCCCCCCACACCCCTCTGTCTTTGGGAAATGGATAAGAATATCTCCCCCTGCCTGCTCCTTCCTCCCGTGTTTCGGCCGGTGAAGCATCCCTGGGAGGCCGTGGGGAACGCGCTGCCGGTCCCAGGCTGCCATGGGAAGGTCAGAGGGACCCGGAGCGGCTGGTGGGCTGGCTTCTCACACTCGTTTGGAAATCAGTAGGTTCCCTGTTAGGGGTGTTTGTTTTGGCTGAGAAGGAGGGAGTAAATCAAAAGGGCAAGGGAAAGTTTACATGTGGCTCAGCGGGTGGGTATGTCTCCCGGCGTGAAAACTTTTATTTGCTGGCAGCTCAGGCGGCGGGCGAGCTGGGAAGGTGACACAGGACAGGTGGTGATGGAGGGCTCCCGGCAGGCAGGTCTGGGCTCCACCTGGGGGCTTCCAGGGTCCGGGGGTCTCGACAGCCCCCGTGGCCAGCTTTGCCACGGTGCCTCCCAGGAAAAGGACTGTTTTGTTTTTTGCTCCACGGAGCGGCTTTGCTTTGAGGAGTCCGGAGGAGAGCTGACTGCTGATTTGTCTTGCCTCCCGGGCTTCCATTGGCTCGCTCATTTGGTGTATTTTCTTCACCCTGAGAGGGGAACTTGAGTGGGGGCTGGGGGAGGAAGAGTCTCTCTCAGAGAGGATGCAGCCAGGTGTGGAGTGTTGCTGAGGCTCGCATCCTCCTTCCCAAGGAAGAAACTTAATAGCACTGCTCTCGTCAAAGCCCTGCTTGTGTCAGGCAGTCAGGGCGCAGGCTCTGTGAGCACTCTGGTGGCTCCCATGGATGGCCGTCCCCAGACATCGTCCGGTGACCCACACGGCTCCCACATCGCAGGCTTCCTGTGGGCCCCTGGGGACTTGGGTTTCTGGAGAATGCACAGAATTAAGTAAAAATCCTGCATGTGGGGAGGTTGGCTGCTACCTATTACTTACAAAGGAATAATAACCCTACGTTTTTAGGAGAAAAAAAAATCTGATGTCTAATGTATCTTCTGTACAACTTTCAAAACGTGCCTCTTTCTTTTTACAAGTTCAATAACGCCCGGGTTTCTATGTACTGGCAAAGTGCTCACCCGAAGTAACACTGCATTGCCAAGGACTGTTGGGAAAACAGTGCCCTCACAGAGAAATCTTTCCAATGATTTAAAAGCAGTAAACAAAGCAGGTATGTCCGGGTTGCCTTTGATTAAGGATAAGACAGTTTTATCAGCACGTCTCACTTGATGAAAGGGAAGTAACTGTGGACACCCGGGTCTGTTTAGAGGCAGCTTGACCTCAGTGTTGATCTTTCAGAACGTTAACCTTTCTTCTCTTGGTTCTTGATGTTCGCTGGCATTTTACAATACTTTGGCCTCTTGTTCTCTTCAATCCATTCATCTGTTCTACGGGAGGGGGGAACGGGTTTCTGGAAGGAGTAAGGAATTAAGGTCAACTTGGCACGTCCAGGTAGTGAGTCCGCGTTCATTGGTGGAGAAACTCAGAATAAGGAGTTTGTTGGCCAATAGAGAGGGGTGGGGAATGTCACTATTGAAAACCTAGGCTGGAGAGTAAAACCCAAGAAATGAAGGGGAAACGTACGCAGGAGTTGAGCATATTATACATGCAGCACTCCTGCTCTTCTCTGCCAGGGACTCTGTTTTGCTAAACACATCCTGCTAAGGCTCCCACAATAATGCTGGAGTGGGATTTGGTGGGTTATTGTTAATTAAAGCTCAAGTGCTTCGAGTGATTGAGACATTGCGTTCAGAAATCACAGCAGTCAGCTATTTGTGGAGTGGAACTACCCTAGGACTCTCGGATCTCAACGGCCTTTTAGAGGAAGAGGGGCACTTTCTAACCTTTCAACACGAGAGCAGACCCTTCCCTCGCCCCCTCTACCTGTACACCGGAGCCTGCAGGCCCAGGCTGAGATGCAGCGGGAGAGACGCCTGCATTTCTGAGCAAGTTCCAAGTTCTCACCAGCAATTAGCGGTCCAGAGGGAAGACTATTGGTTGGAATATTTAGGCGAGAGCTGCTCCTTTGCTTGGCGACCTGGGGGTGCGTTCAGGTGGACTGGGGCTTGTTTGGCAGTGTGATGGAGGGCCTGGCTCTCCTCCTCATTTCAGGATATGGGTTTTCCCCTTTCGGGATCCGTGATAGAGATGCGATGGGGGAAAACCTCAAGATATTTGCATAAGACAGCCTCTGATTACTTACTTTCTGCTTCAATAACGATTAATTCTATGTGGATTGAGCTCCCAGCAAACTCATCTTTTTTTCCAAACTGACTTTTTAAATGCAATTGGTCATAGGGCTGTCTGTGACTTCTGTGCGAGCTAACCCATTCCGTCCTTGCTGTGTGTGTCTCCGGATGTCATGCATGGTTGCCTGTGTGCACGCGCTGTCATTGATGAGTCCCTCTTCCCTCCCCCTGAGCACATGGATGCCCAGCCCCAGCCCCCTCCCAATCTGGGGACAGAGGGGCCGATGAACAGGTGTTTGGAATACAGCAGGCTCAGGTGCAGAGGACCATCAATCTCCAGGAGGAAGGACTTGCAAATACTGCAAAGCGCTCCCCTTGTTCAGACAATTTTGCAAATACCACACCAATAAAAAAAAAATGGCAGCTGGCAGTATTTTCCAACCCAAGACCCTGCACCGCCCTTTCTCCCCATCACCTTCTTTCTGCAGTGTATCTGTCCATCTTCTTCTTATCTCTATTTTTACATTTCATTATCCTCCGGCGCTCTCTCCTTCCCACCCCCCCTTTTCTCCCCCTTCTCTCTGAAAAACACATTTCTATCTGGCACAGAAAATAAACTCAGATTGTGGGTAGTTATGTTAATCTAATTCAATCCTCAGCGGGTTAGGAGCGAAATTCTAATAGTGAAGCTGTTGAGGGCTTTTTTTGTTAATGGCTTGGGGATTACATTGAGTTAAAGGCTCATTTCCTAATCAAACAGAGAGGGAGAGAGTGACTCCGAATATTTATGAGTCTCCCAGTGAGAGTTTAAACATTCAACTCCAAAAGCAGGGTTTCTGCCGGTGGAAAGAGTTAAAACCCCTCAGGGCTGCTGGGGAAAAAATTAAACCAGTTAAGCCATCAGCATTTTCAGGCTGCTGTGCAACTTGGGCAAAGTGGAAGGTGGGGCGGGAGGGGACTCGGTTCACAAAGCGAAAATGGAAACTGTGGCAGACGCTCTGCAGCCGGCGGCAGCTGCTGATGTGCTCGGAGAAAAGTCCCCGGCAGCAGACTGGGGTCCTCGGTTCACCATGGGCCTGGAGGGGCCGTGTGCCTGCAACTCCCCAGACCAATTCTCCTCCTCCGTCTGGAGGTGAGAACGGGGAGGCAGGAGTATGGCTCAATTTACCAGCAGCTGGAGCGTCCCCCTGCTGCCTGGTGTAGGGGGAGAGGATGGTCCCCACTCCATCCTGCCAGTGAAATGCCGAGGACGGTCTTCTTCCCCCCATGATAGCAAACTCACATGTCCACACGCCCGCCTCTCCCTTGGCTCCATGCTCGGTCTGGGTCTCCCGCTGCCTCTGCTCGGGGCTCTGTGCCCACGAAGACTTCAAAGCCCATCTGGCTCACTGTGCCCAGGAGAAAGCAGGTCGAGAACCCCCGTTCTCCTGCCAGAGAGGGCGAGGAGCGACTTGGCCAAGGTCAAGCAAAGTCACGGCAAACGGAGGGCGGGAGTCTAAGTTCTCTGATGAGCTCTGGCTGCTCTCCCCCGGTTCTCTGTGGTCCAGTAGAGGATGGAGCAGAGTCCAGCCACATGGCTGTCCGGACTGCCCTGGGCCTCCTGGGGTGCTGTTGGCTTCTCCGGCTTGTAAAGGACGGGCAGGAGTCCCCATGCGGGAAGACTCTGAATGCTCCGAGGATACGTGTCCTTGTTCCGCCACCCACTAAGAGAGCAGTTTTGGGCCCTGTCCCTGGGGCCTTTTTCCTGCTCCAGGAGGTCAGGGAGGCCTCCGACAGCTGGCTGTCTCTCTCCTAGACCCTGGCTTTTTGTTTCCTGAGGACCTGGGCATGGATCTTCTCTCGGTGCCTCCATGGCCTGTGAGTGCCTGTGTGACCTCTTGCATTTGCCCTTTCTCGTGTCAAGGCAGCACTCACGTCAATGGGAACTTTCCTGGGAATCCTTTCTCTCGTGACCAGCAACTCGGAGCCCCTGGCTGGTCTCCCCCACCATGTGGGTCTTCGGTGGGCCTCCCTCACTGCCCCAGCCGCTGAACCTGAGCACGGACAACATCTCCTTCCCCGTTGCAAGCCCAGATGACGGCTGACCATTCCTGCCCTCCTGCTCTAACCAGGGCCCCTCAGGGGTAGTGAAGATCATGCCCTGAATCACACACCGGGACTCAGAGTCCAGCACTGCTTCCTCTCAGCTGTGAGCCTGGAGGTCATGGCCCTTGAAAGGTCTTGTTTTTTTCATCTGCTACCCGGGGTATAATTCTAGAACCTTCCTTGTGGGTTGTTGGGAAAAGGAAGTGCATGTGATGTGTTAGCCCTTTGCCTAGTGTGCTAGCACCCTCATTTGCTCGGCACAGAGCAGTCACCCTGTCACACCACTGACAGTAGGTCCCTATGCTTCCCACTGAGGGGCTGTGACTGAGCTCAGGCTGCTATGATGAAACGCCATTAGACTAGGTGACCATCAACAGCCTTATCCTCTCCCAGGTCCGAGGCAGGCCCAGGACCAGCGGGCTGGCGTGGCGGGTCCTGGCAAGGCCCTTCTGTGTGTGCCAGTGGCTTCCTTCTGGCCGTGTCCTCGCATGGAGGGAGCTCAGCGCTGGGCTCCTCCTCTTCTTAGGAGGACACTGATCCCATCATGGGGTCCTCCTTCATGACCTCATCTGAGCCTACTTGCTTCCCAAAGACTTCGCCCCCAAACACCACGTGGGGATTACGGCTTCGGCATAGGGACTTTGGGAGGACGCAAGCCTTCTGC